CTTTTTTTTTTTTTTTTTTTTTTTTTTTTCCTTTGGTACCAGGGATTGAACTTGGGACCTTGGACTTGCGAGGCATGCAAGTCGATTTAGCTCGAACCACTGAGCTACATCCCCAGCCCCTAACCCTCAGAAGTTTCTGGGTTGAAAACATTCAGCTCAGCTCTGAATTGTTATGGCTACACTGACTTCTACCTTCTAATACATTTTTGCTCTTTGATGATCCCTTTTCCTTTATCCTTCATTGGGCTGGATATACAATGAACCCTTTCTGTATACATAGGTCATTCATGTCCCTCTGGTCTTGGAAGTGTTCTTATATAATTTCTTTGATTTCTTCTTTCATTTGTCTTTTTCTCCTTTTCTGGAACATTGCTATGTGTTGGAATAGAAGAACACTGTAGATACCAGTTATGTTGAGCTGTGACTTGAGGAAACAATTAGTTCAATCCCCTGCACTTAAAGAATGAGAGAAAGGGGAACGGATGATGGGCAGAGAGGACTTTCTGGATCTGGAAACAGCTCGAGGTTGGAAGTGATGCAGAGACAGCCTGACTGGAGCAGCAGTGATGTTTCTTAGGGAGATGTGGCAGACAGACCAGGTTCCAGAGATCTGGGAAAACCAGGCAGAAGGACTTTCTATGACTCAGGAATTTAGAGTTACTGATTGCTTTTAAGTTACTGAGTGTTTTAAGGGTGACTAAGCTGATAGTTGTACAGAAAAATAGTTGGTGAGAGGAAACTATAAGTGTGTGGGGGAATCACTAGAAGCTTATGTTAATAAATCAGGGCAGAGCTGGTAAGTACAATGTAAAGGAAGATACGGAAATGAGGTTTCAGGGAAAAATTAGCAAGACATAGTTACTGAATAGATACTGATGAGATGAGTTAACCTGGTGAGTTGATTTTTGGCTTTCTTCTTCTTCTTTTTTTTGGTACCAGGGGTTGAACTCGGGTCCTTATGCAATGCAGGGCAGGCAGCGGAACCACTGAGCTAAATCCCTGGCCCATTTTTGGCCCATTATTGGTGGTCAGCTGAGCTTTCTGCTGAGGTGGAGCCCATTCTTGTAAGTCAGAGTAAAAGAACATAAGGTAGTGATAGGGCTTATTTAGCACCTAACACCAATGATAGCACTACGTGTGGGGAGGGTTTTTCTGTCCCTTGCTAAGTGCCTATAATATACAGTATGCCTGTATTCAGTCATGTGCCTTCCTGTTGGCAGTAAAAATGCAAAGTAGCATTTTGTATGAATTACTGTCACTTGACAGCTTACTTTAGCAAGCTTATCTCAGCTCTTCCTCATCCTGAGATAGGCAGGAAAATGGAAAAGATTATGCATGTATTGTTTCTTCTAATTGTATGCCTTGTGTTTATAATGCAAGTTGTCAAAATATAAATCCTTTGAAATAACTTATTTCTTAGGAGGGACTCAGGATGCTTTCTAGATGTATTGTTGATCATTTCCCTCTTACAAATCTCTTTATCATAATAACCCAAGAGAATTTATCATTATTGATATTTTTCCTTATTTGGACTCCTAAACATTGTCCTAGTTAACTTGAAAGGTCTTTCTCTTCATATGTGTTTCTGTTTGTTGGTTTGTTTGTTGAGACAGTGTCTCACTATGTAGTTGAGACTGACCTGGACTTACTACGTAGCCCAGGCTGGTCTTGAACTCACAGTGAGCCTCCTGAGTGCTGGGATTACAGGCGTGCGCCACCATGCCCAACTTCTATTTTTAATCTTGAAAAGATATTTCTTTCCAAAGATGAAGCTGCAGAAAATTGTAATAAGTTGTTTTTGTTCTTTTAATTGTAAGCTAGGAAGCTTTTTGTACCCTTGCTTCTCAGGATGCATCTGCCTACAGCTTGCTATTTGCATGATATTTCTGGGATTGAGAGTGCCCTCTTCTGGTGACTTAAGGTTCTGAGATTTTAGTTTGTGTAGGCTGGAGTCTCCACCTAACATTTTATTCACATTTCACATAGTATTTGCTGTGTTCAGCCTTAAAAGTATCTGAAAGATGTGAGTTTTTGCTAACAAGAGTAACCTATTAAATTTCATTGGTGCTAGGTGGAACGGCCCCCTTCTCCATTCTCCATGGCCCCACAAGCTTCCCTTCCCCCAGTGCCACCACGGCTTGATCTTCTGCAACAGCGAGTGTCTGTTCCTCCAAGTAATTCTAGTCTAGGAACTGTCCCCAAGGTGAGCATTATGCATTTCTTCAGTTTTCTGTCTCTTTGTTGTGCATTAATGCTTTTTTTTTTATTGAGTTTATTGGCACATTTTAGGTATACAGTACAGTTACATTCATTATTGGGATCTTGTTCCTTTACATGCCAGGTCTTGGTTCTCATTTTTTCCCGTCCCTGCCCTCCCTTCACCCCCTCCTCTCCTCCCCATTTACAAACACTTTATTTCCATCTTTTCATTTTCTCACATTTTTTTCTTTTCCCTTAATACATTTCCCCTACCTTTCCCACTTTTCCCTACACCTTTAGCCCTTTTCTTGCCATTTCACGTCAGTTATCCGCATTAATGAGTTTTGATGGATTGACTCCATCTTGCTTTCATAGGCTGCTTCTGCCACTCTTCATAAGGACAAGCCATTGCCAATACCTCCTACACTTCGAGATCTTCCACCACCACCCCCTCCAGAGCGGCCGTATGCTGTTGGAGCAGATACCCGACCTCAGAGACGCCCCTTGCCTTGTACACCAGGCGATTGTCCATCCAGGGACAAACTGCCCCCTGTATCCTCTAGCCGTCTGGGGGACTCATGGTTGCCCCGGCCAATCCCCAAAGTACCAGTAGCTACTCCAAGCCCCAATGACCCGTGGACCGGAAGAGAATTAACCAACCGGCACTCACTTCCGTTTTCATTGTCTTCACAAATGGAGCCAAGAGCAGATGTTACTAGGCTTGGAAGCACATTCAGTCTGGATACTTCCACGGTGAGTCCCAATTTTGAAATTAGCCTATTAGCACATATTTGTGGGTGGTATTTTATGGGTCAGGTTTTGTGATAGGTTTTGCACAGAATTCAGAGATAAAAGATAATGTAACAGAATCTCCAAACCTCAAGAAGTCTGTAGGTTGGTCTGAGGATATATCTCAGTGGTAGAGTGCTTACCTAGGATGCATAAGGCCCTGGATTCTATCCCAAACACTGTGGGGAGGGAAAAGTACATTAACAGGACAAATAAGGCAGTTGTATGTCATCAAGTGTCCTGTGTAAATGCCATGAGTAATATAACTAGAAACGTTTTTACATTTTAGAGAAAGGAGGAATTTTGAGCTAGAGCAATTAAAAAGAAGGCATCTGAATCTAAAAGCCCTTTGAAATCTAAGAGTTCTTTGTTGTTGAGGAAAACAAGAGCACAAAAACATTTATTACATGCCTACATCATGGGAGTATTAGAGTCCAGATGCAGTTTTAAGATAGGTCAGAGTCACACTGACAGAGTTCTTAAGATGGAGTATGGAATGATGAGCAGAGATTTTGAATACCAGAGCAGGAGAAGAGAGCAGTCACAGTGGATTACACCCTACCAAAAAGAATTTGAATTTATTTGGTAGGAAATGGTGAATGTTTGAAGGTTTTAAGTTTGTGAATTGAAGAAATTTAATAGTAATAGAATAGATTATGGAAAGACAGGATGGGAGAGAATTTCTTTGTTGGTTCGGTTGTGCACACCTCACATCCTTGCCTTTACAAAGCTTACATTCTTAGTGGGAGGACAATGGAAAATAAACACGTGAATACAATATGTAGTATGTTCACGATGAGTGCTGTGGAGAAGAGCCATGAAAGAAAGAGGTACAGGGAGCTAGAGTTGGGGTGGGCAGTATAGGAAGTGAAGGGGTATGACTCTGAGCTAAGACCTGAAGCAGTAGGAAAGTGAGCCATGCTTACTTGGAAGACCATTCTGAAGAGGAGGGAAAGGAATTGAGGCCTGGAGAGTCTGTTTGAGAAATAATAAAGGGATGTAGTGTAGCTAGTGCCATATAATCAAGAGGGAGAGGCCTTATCTCTGAGCAATAGTGGGCTGCCCAGTTAGGAGGAGCCTTTAAGAGAGTGCAAAACAGATTAAGATGTAAAAACAGTCAAGAGATGGAGTAGACAATGAGCAGTCACACATTCATCCTGAACATTTGACTCTAACTAGGAACATTTAAATTTGAGACAAACCTTTGACAGAGTTGACAGGTAGGTAGTTGGAAATGTGAGGAGGAAGTGGAATAGGAAGGATGAACTTGAGGAATGTTACACAGCACTCAGATATTTCTACTTACGTGACACCTGTGTGTTAGGCAGTCTAATTAGTAAGAGTGTCTGTGACTTTTTAACACAGAACAACCATTTTAAGTATAGATTATTTAAGCTATAAATGGTGTTTATGTAAACAACTAATTTCCTCAAAAATTTTCAGTATTCAGCCAAACAGAAAAACCCACTTCCCTGACTCTTTCTAGATCTCTGTCTTTCTAACCCTAAGTTTGAAGATTTTTCAGGGCCAGAAAGCTGTAGTGCTTTTGTCAGAGATGAAAGTCCTTAGGGGTCAGGTCTGCGTCAGTATTAGTATTCCTGTGATTTTGAGTAGGCTAAGAGGAGATAACCTCTCTCCTGCTAAGGAGGCTCTTCAACACCTTTCTTTTCTTTCCAGAACACAAGTAACAGTCCATTAGCAGGCCCAGAGTGCGAGCACCCCAAAATCAAACCTTCCTCATCTGCCAATGCTATTTATTCTCTGGCTGCCAGGTAAGTTTGCTTTTGAAGTTGGTACTTTAAAATAATTGACTAATACATAAGTTAGGAAACTTAAGTATAAAGGAAAAAATAAAAGTTCATCTGTATTTGTACCATGTAAAAGTCATTTTATGATTTGAAATCCTTACTTGTTCTTATTTCTGTATATGTGTATATAAATCAGTCTTTCTGGGACTTGTCAGGTTTATTAATCTTTTCAAAATTGGTTTTATGGTTTTTATTCTTACTGGGTATTTGCTTTCAGTTAAATTGCTATCTGCTCTTTATTCTTCCAACTCTTTTTAGACTTTCTGGCATCATGAGATGGATGCTGTCTTAGTCTTCTTCACCTGCCATATCAGAATACCACACACTGGGTGGTTTAAACAGCAGGAATTTATTTCTTTGAAGTACTAGAGGCTAGAAGTCAAGGATCAGGGTGCCAGCAAGGCCATTTTCAATGAGGGCCCTCTTCCCTGGTGTGTGGGTAGCCACCTCCGGTGCATGTGTGCAGGCAGAGGGAGCAAGCTGTCCAGGCTGTCTTCTTATAAGGACACAAATCCTGTCTTGTCAGGATGTCACCCTGTGATCTCATCCAGCCTTAATTTAATATCTCCTGTGAGTGGCTATATTTCCAAATATGGCCAACTGGGGATTAGAGCTTCAAGGGGTACACAAACATCAGTCCATAACATACAGAAAGTACATGCTTTTTTCATTTGTCATTTCTTTGTTATTTATGAAGTGCCTGATGCAAACATTTGAGGATTTTATGGTTATCCTGTGACTGCTTTATGGCTTCATTCCAGCATTTTTCTTTTTTTTTCCTTGTTGTTTTCCTATACTTGAGATTGAATTTAGGGCCTTTGCACTGAGCTGCATCTCCAGAGCAGCGTCTCCCCTCCTTGAAACTGGGTATTGCTAAGTCACTAAGTTGCCCAGGCTTACTGGAACTTGCAGTCTTCCTGCCTTAGTTGCCCAAAGTGCACCACCACGCTAACAGTGTCGTATTTTTTTTATCTGCAGATCTATGCTTAATATGTTCCTTCATCTCATAAAAATGTGTGTTCTGCAATTGCTGGATATAGCATTTTGTATATATCAGTCATGTCAAGTTTATTCTGGTCAAACCATCTGTCTCAGATTTTTAAAAACCTGTTCTGTCAGGTAACTGAGAGGAATGTGTTGTTCTCCTTTGAGTTTCCCTTTGAGCTTTTTAGTTCTATCCCTTTGTCTTCTGTGTATTTTTATCCTGTATATTGCTTCTTGGTCTTTTGACTAAGATCAAGTGTAACTTGTGTAGTTAGGGTAATAGAAATTTTAAATTATTAATACTAAATTGTAAGCTTTTATTTTATTATGAAATGTTTGCTGTAGTTCTACTTCTTGCTTGCCTTAAATCTACAGTGTCTTCTATTAAAATGGTTACTTTCAACCTTTCTCTGTCCTTGTAGCAAATGTTTTTCTCATAAATAGTGTATACACACAGTGGGATTTTTTTCTTCCATAAATCTAATCTGTCATTCTTTGGGAGAAATTGAATCATTTGGTCCTACTCTTTTCCTCATTTTTCCAATCTTTTCTGGGTTCATTTTTTTCCTGTTTTCATACTTTTTGGATTGAAATATTTCTATTATGCCATGTCAGCCTTCCTATTAATACTTTAATAGTTATCCTAGAAATTCCAGTGTGTACCCGTGGTTAGAGTGTTCTTTATCTTGACTGATTGATTGGATATTTGAGACATGATCTCCTAAGTAATTCAGGTTGACCTTGAACTCCCTGTGTACCCCACGCTAGCCTCGAACTCATGGTGCTAGGATTACAGGCCTGCGCCACCATGCCCAGCCAGACAGGGTCTTGCTATGTTTTCCAGACTGGCCTTGAACTTGCTTTGTAGCCAACTTTCTATCCTGCCTCTGCCTCCCAAGTGCTGAGATTACAGGTGTGTACAACCATGCCTGGCTCAAGAACTTCATTAAGTGCGTGCATGCATTTGTAAAGGGTTAATGCATTGTCTGTCATGGATTCAAGTTTTGTTTGACTAAATATCTTTATTTCACTCACATTTTTTAAAAGAATTTTTACTGAGAGCCATATATTCTGGAGTCAGTTTCTTTTAGCATTTTAAAAATACCATTCCATGCTGGATGTGGTGGTGCACACCTATAATCCCAACAGTTTGGAGGCTGAAGTAGGAGGATCACTGCAAGTTCTAAGACCAGCATGAACTGCAGTAGTGAGATCCTGTCTCAAAAAAAAAAAAAAAAAA